TAGAAGAGGATTACATGTTGATTTATAGATCCACCAAACTTCCGTCGCAATGTAGTGGTATAGTCAGAAGTGTCCTGGTTGATTTTATTATGTGCAAGCACACCGATGCATGGGAAACTTTTTAAAATAAAATCCATGACAATGAAGATCATTACTCGCACAGCGAACTTCTTGAATCCGTGTCAAATCCTGTTACCGGTTCCCATTGGCAAGCTTCTTCCTGCATGCAGCACCACATTGCGTTGTTCGTTTTCTACTGAACCGGTCACCAATTATTGCAGGTCTGGTGGAACATTTCTTGAGATGATATTTAAAAAAACGAATACCATTGTCTTATTGTTTGTAGTGTGCCTTCGTTTTTCCTCTCTCCATGCTTCTTCCTGTTTTTTCTCTGTCTATCGTGAAGATCGCTGATAATTCACCTTTACGGTGCATAAAGCCTACTTTAACGAAGACCTGTAGGCCTTGTACAATTGTTTCATCTTATATATGTGTATAGGTATTATGTATTGTTAGCAATAGGCAACTCCTGGATCACCAAACACAAAAGGAACTTAACCGGACTCAATACTCCCACGGTTTTGCCCCAATTTTTCCATCGACTTATCATTGTGTGTAAAAAAGAATGATCAAAATAGGAGCGATCATTGATCCAGATTATGCAGATGACATCGCCCTGTCGGGTGAAAATGTACAGACAATCAAACTTGTTTTGAATCATTAGGAGATCGAGGTATCCAGGCGGGATATGCGTTTCGCTCGATCCAAATACAGTGCTTGTCAGCTGCCTCGTGTCTGCACTCATCGTTGGTGGTGTTCAGTTGGAAGTACTTGAAACCGTTGAGTAATTACCTCGGGGGCTTGATCGCAGCTGAAATTGGAGTAGAAGAGATTACATCACGAATAGTTAAAACTATAGCAGATTTTGTCAACCTGTGATAAATGTGGCTCAGCATTGATATCCGACTTTCCCTTGATGAAACGGTGTACATTGCCGCGATCCGGATGCGATGCCTGGCCCCTCTACTTGGAGGATGCTAATCGAATTTCTGTATTGGACCACCGATGCCTTCAAACCATTGTCGATTTCTGGTGGGAACATCGTGTGGGCAATGACGAAATTTCTCACTCTGTGTTTGGTGCCGATAGTCGTTCTCTAAAAGAAGTACTTGCTCTACACCGTCTCCGATATCTCGGTTATGTTTTTCTTTTACCTGTTCATCGTGTAGTTATCAGTATTATTTTTACACTTACTGGGTACGACTAGAAGAAGCTATGAATTGGTGTCTATGTATGATGAAGTTTGCTTAG